CGGGAGCAACGCCGAGGGTTGCAATCCCGTTGCTGGTCCCCGGTCCGGTACGGGGGCAACACTGAGGGTTGCGATCCGTTGCTGGACACGGAAAAAGACAAAAAAAAAAAGTCCCTGAACTGTGAAGTGAGTCCTACCTCACCCTTCCCTCTCTCCTAGCTCTATGATGAGATCCTTGCTCACTAGAAATTTATGTACCACAAAGATTAGGTGAAGGAGGGTAGAATCTGAGGAGGAGAAACGGAGGCAGGGAGAAGGTACTAGTCGTTTAGACAGGCCGGTGGCGGTAGGCACTGGACGGTGCAAGGCAAATGAGGAAGGAAAGGGACAGCACCGTGTAAGGGAGTCGCAGCTCTGTGGCCAGAACGCTTCCATGGCTCAGCAGTGACTGCAACACACTGAGCTTAGGTAACTGAGAAAGCAGGGGCAGCGTCAGCAGAAATATGAAAATGTGGGCACCTACCACCAAAATCTTCCTTTTTGGGGTGTAGAGAATGAGACTCAAAGAGGCTAGGAATTTGCCCAGAGCAGCAGATGTAGCAAGAGGCAGATCCAGGACCCAAACCTATGTCTAACTTCCAGGCGAGTATTCTTAACCACTACTAAGAGGAAGTGCCTTTGCAGAAGAAGAGGATGTGCTCTGCCATGGATGTGGTGACTACGGAAATCAGGCGGGCACCAGCCTGGAGTGCCCAGCAGGGAATGAGGACTTGTATTCAAGAGAGAGGATCACACTACCCTGTGGCTCAGCCACCGGGAGGAGAGGTAAAGCCGAGACTGGATGTGATCTTTGCCGGAACTACTGTAACCGAGGGAGAACCACGAAGAGCTCCCGTGGTGCAGGTCTCGGAGGAGAATGAGGAGCCTTCAATGAAGATAAAGAACAGACCAGGGAGGTAGGGAAAGAACCAGGAGAGAAAAATCTTACAAGCAGCCATTCCTCCACTTAGGAAGGATTCTCGAGTGCAACAGGGAACTGGCTCCATTCAGTGCATACTGACTGAGTGCCTACCACGTGCCAGGCACTGCTCTAAGCAGGTGCCCGGGACACTGCAGTTAGTGAAACGGACCAAGATCCCTGCCCTCATTAGTTTACATTCCGGTGAGGAGAGAGAGAGAGATAATAAACACAAAGAAGTAAAACTTAAGCAACAATCACTTCTTCCGAAGCCTTTATTAAATAAATAAATCATATTATAATACAGAGCAGCTGCCTAAGTTCCCCACTTGGTATGTACCTTTCATTCACTTATCCAATAAATGTTTATGGAGCATTAACTAAATGCTAGATTAGGGGTTGGGAACCTAGGATCCTGCCTATAGGAGTTCACAGTGCTGGCAGAGACAGGGGAAAAGCTGGGGAGAGGGTGGTTTATAAGAGAGGATTAGTGGCACTATAAGAAAAGGCTGATTTCAATTTTTTTTTTTTTTTTTTTGGCAGGACAAAAAAATAGAGCAGCTCTAATTGTAAGTCAAATGCTGTTAGCAGTAGCACCACATATAACCCCTGCATGCAGTTGTAAGAAGTGGTTAGAAAGTGCCAAGCTACTCTACAATGACACACGTGCCTTGTGCCTGGAGCACACAGGGACCACTCTGGTTCTCAGCTAATAGAGATCTTATCAATCACTGGGCCTTCCAGAGTTTCACACAGTGTCTAGAGGATTTCAAACTGCCAATTGTTTCACTGAAGAGCCTAATGCATACTGAAGCACCATAAATTTGATTAGGCTTAAAGTCACTAATTGCCATCAATTAGTTACAATTAGAAACAATTTCATTAATTTTCATATTAATGAAATTGTCTTAGCATACCCAAATTCATTTATATTTGATAGTGTTTTACATGTAAAATCAGAGTTTTGGTTTAGTTAATAGTATTAACAGATATTTATTAAATGCTTAACTTCAGTCCAATTACTGTGCTAAATGCTTTATACACGTTTTCATTTAATACTCATAGCAACCCAATGAGATTTAATATTAACATCTTCATTCCCATTTTAAGGATGAAAGAGTTGAGGCTTTAGAGAGATTAAGTAACTTGCCAGGCTGTGCTCAATTAGCAGCTGGCTGGGCAGGGAACCCAGGCAGCCCAAGAGTCCCTAACTGGACCACACTGCTGAGTCATTTATGGGAAAAGAACAGGGAGTAAGAACAAAACACATTCACGTAACTGAGGCTTAACTCAATACTTAATTGCTCTAAAACACTGTAGAAGAGGCTGTTTAAAAAATATTCAAGAAAACACCATGGAATCTTTTATCATTAGATGCAAGTTTGAAGTCCAAGAAAGAACCAGAATTTTGTTAGTACAAACATGACACAATTTAACAACTCTATTTACTGTTTTCAAACTACGAATGTACTACACCAAGACTCAGAAGTCCTGGTTCTAATCCTGGCTGTGTGGCTTCCAGTAAATCACTTTATCTCTCTGGGCCTCAATTTTGGTACCTATAAAACATGGGGGTTAATCTAGACCAGGAGGTTCCAATTTGGTTTTGACTATAGAATACCTCATTCAAACAAAATATTACTTGGAATTCCATAGACAAAACAGACTAATATTGACTTTCTTAGGATGTTTTGAGGCGTGAGGGAGGTCCCAAAGGCCAGCTCCTTGCTAAATCCCCTTACCCCTGACACCTCTCTGGGAGCCCTAGCTCAGAGCAAGGCAGTTCCAAGAAGCGCAGGTGGAACACTGCTCAAGTTAGCTCTCAAAATCCCAGGCTCCTCACCACTCAGACCTGCCTGGCACCTTTCACATAGTGGGCACTTAATAAATATTTGTGAGAAAACCAATGAAATACTATTCTGCCTTTCGGAAATGTGGATATGTAGTTTTCATTTCCTCTGCAGATTGACCTAGGTAGTTAAAGTGCTAAGATGGATCCTGGGGGAAACCAAATGCTACATTTATGGAAAAGCTGCTTTTAGATACTAAAGTGGCTTCCAAGTTCACCATGGCCATAAGTTAAGGGTCTGTCAGCACTTCCATTATGAAAACTGCTTTGTGGTTTCATAACTTAGCCATAAAAGTTTGCTTCGGGCTATACTTGGGCATACAAATTGAAAAGCTTGTTTTAAGCCAAAATGTGGGAATTAGAAAACAAACAATTTATTGGTTTCAGACATAGTTTTGTACTTGTCTTAGCCAAACAAGATTTATTATGTGGGCAATTAGCGTGGACTAAGCCACTTGGTTCATGAAAAATAAAAAAGAGGGAAAATGACCAAATTATTTATATTTCAAAAGGGGTCCCTGAACACAATTGATCATTCCTTCTGGTTACATTTTCATCATGTACTTTGTAACCACACATTGATGAGACCCAGAGTTTATTTATATATTCTTTTCCTTTCTTTTCTTTTTTTTTTTTTTAACATTTTCTGTTAATTATATCAGAATGATAAAATTGCCTTGTTTTTACCAGAAAGAAAGCAATGTAAATGAGAACATTGTCAAAAGAAGTGCTTGATGCTGCTTTCAGTGAATTGTTTAAGAATGACAAGTAGCTCATTCTAATAAACAAACAAAAAAGAAAAACTACCAGTAACGAATAAAACCAAGCAAAGTAGGGAAATGAGTATATAACTTAAGGTTTTATAAGTACAATGTTAGAGCTGGTAAAGACCTGCAAAGTCACCAGGTCAAACCTCTGACTTTTACAGATAGGGAAATCGAGGCCCCAGCAGAAAAAAGACCTGCCTGAAGGCATCCTGCTAGTAGTTAGTAGGACTAGAACCAGATATTCCACATCCCAGCTTGGTGATCAGCTCATCACTGTTTCCCACCAGATATAACCATTCAAGTTTCCAGGATTCAACATTTTTGTGAACTATTAATGTCTAGCCCAGCGCACACAAATGCCCCTGCTTACACCAGGATCCACCCTCTTGAACACAGGATACCAGGCATTTTGCGACTTTGATGAACTAATTCACAAGTCAATGTCATTAGTACCCTTGTTATAAACTTGTTTTATGTCTTCTTTAGGCCAAGCACAGTTGTGAGCACCTAGAAATGGGAGTTAGTTACCAAAGGCAGATTACTGGGCTACGGGCTCTAATCTCACTAGGGAGAGACACAGGCATGAGTGTGTGGAGCAGCTTAACCATGAACAGGTCAGTCCTGTAGCTCAGGAATGCAACCAAACAAACCATGCTATAGTTATCACATATCTGTTGATGAACTGAAACAGATCACTTGTTATTGAATCAGATCCAGTGCTTCACAATTGCTCTTTTACAGTACTGGGGAATAGATGAATTTAGTTCAAGATTTAGACCCTCTCTCTTATGTATTATTAAAGCATATTGTATGCCCCTTTCACACTGTTACAAATGTCTGCCTACAGATCTGTCTCTCCCTTCAGACTGTACTCTGGGCAGGAATAAGATCCCATTACTCTTTGTGTCATAACTGTCTAGCACAGGGAAGGTACTCAACATCTGTTACTGAATGATTGAATGAATGAATGAGCAAACCAACAAATGTATGCACTCACTGATAGGGCCAGTCTCTCTCTAGAGTGACTTCCCCAGGTCTCTCCTTCATTTTCCCCTTTGCCCTATATAATGCCTCTGCTCCCACAGAAACCAGTCAGATCCCTTAGCAGCCACCACTTAGCTTTGCAGAAATATTTTGGGCAGAAAGAATGCAATTATGTTAATAACAGGCCCATAAAGTATTTTCTTAAGTCAAAGAGGAATTTAAGTCAGAAAAACAGGAAATTCCTAAATACCTGGGTAGAAGATCACAGTCCACTCCAATCTCTCTGGTTTCTACCTCAGTCTTGGGCTGGGTTTCTATTAAATAGTCCAACCTGCTTTGTAGTTCATTATTCTAGAGATGAAGAAAAAAGTGCTTTTAATAGCCAAATATGTTCCCCCACAAATATGCATGATACAAATTATATGTGTTATCTGATTTCCCCCCATGACACAGACATTGATCACAATGTATTTATTGAGCATCTTTTATACTGTAGGTGTTGTAGAAATATATTGATTGAATCCTTTTAGATAGCTTTCTGTGCATGAACATACATGTGCATCCAGTTTTACATAAACGAAAACAAACAAAATATCCTAATCTACACTATAATCTGCTTTTTTTTCAGTCAACAATTTGTTGTAAATATCTGTCTACTAGTTTTCTTTCTATGTCAACGAACTATTTTAATTGGTTCACAGTATCCCATTGTATGCATATACATTATTTAACTAGTCTCTTATTGACGGGCATTTAGATATTTATCACTTTTTTTTGTCATTATAAATAAGGTGCAGCTCAACTTTTAATACCCCCTTATTAAACTATAAAATGAGTAAGTCTATTAATTTAATTAAGTGGGAAATACCTCTATAACTTAATAATTAGTATTCATAGGTGTGGAAAATTCAAAATCTCAAACATATAAAGTAGAACAAGCTCCTTGGGATTAAAATAAGCATTCTGAATAGTTTTTTTAGCCAAACATTACGTGAGTTGATGATTAGATGCTCAGGAATTGGAAATTTGCCCCATGGGAGAAATGAACGACGAAGGAGCAAGCGAGTTGAGGTTATTAAAATGAAAAGAGATGAAGTGATGGTGCCTGAAATCTAAGGGCAAAAACACACACAAAAATTCAGAAAGAGTTATCTGACCATAGAGTGGGTATCTCTGTATTGAGATTTTTGGATGCTTTTTAAAAGTTCTATACAGTTTTCTGTTATGCTAGACAAACTTTTATGAGGCAATGACCATATCTATCTTACTGGCTTTATTCTCGAAGCATGGCATGTAGGAGATACAAGACAAGTATTTATTGAATTAATAAATGCATAAATGTTTTTACAATGAGCAGGTTATTTGCATAACTAGAAAAAATATTAAAGCATCTGTCTTCGTGTTAAGTTGGAGCTAAAGCTGAAGCACTATTCTAAGACACTAGATAACATATGAAAGTTTAGAAGTTCTATGGAAACAGCAGCTCATTTGCTTTGGAAACAAGAATGTGGGTTACAACTCAGTAGCTCCTGCTCTGAATGGGTAAGAAGCAAAGCAACAGTTCCCGTGCAAACCCATGTTCTCTATGATATACAGGTCTACAGATCCCTCCTGATAAATAGGAAATGGTGCAAAGAAAGAGAATGCATTCCAGATTTCCCAGCAGCTAACAAGCTATGACAGATCTATGGGCTTCAAATGGATACCCTGATCCCCTGATCCTCAGTACAGAAAAATGATGCAGGCTTACTGCCAGTGGGACATCAACATTCACACAGACACACACACACACACACACACACACACACACACACCCCTTCCCTGGCAATATGAGCTCGCCCATTCACGAGGAAAGAGAAAGGTAGAGGAGGCCTCCCCTTGCTGGAAGCTCCAGCAATCCCATCACCTTATCCCTTCTCAGTGTAAGGACTTTAATCATGAGAATTTCGGGGCCGGCCCGGTGGCGCACTGCACTAGTGCGTCGCTTGGGAAGCGCAGCGGCGCTCCCGCCGAGGGTTCGGATCCCACATACACACCGGTTCCCACTCACTGGCTGAGCGAGGTGCGGGCGCAGCACCGAGGGTTGCAATCCCGTTGCCGGTCCCGGTCCGGTACGGGCGCGACACTGAGGGTTGCGGTCCATTGCCGGACACAGAAAAAGACAAAAAGGAAAAAAAAAAAAAAAGAATTTCACAGAATGCTGGGTCTAGTGCCTGTAGTTAAGAGACATAAAAGACAAGGTTGGAAAATATGCCCCAACTGGAACACACTGAAGAGTGGACAAGTGACCCAAAATCCTTTATTCTGTTTCATGGGAACTGCATGTATGCATACTAGACACCTATAGAAGCACAGAAATGAAAGTTTTATACTCATGAAAATGTAATGCAATCAGTAAAAACATTATTGTGCATCTGCTATGTATCAGGCAGTGTGTGAAATTAGGTGAGGGGAGGTAGCAGCAGTTAAAGAGATATGGCATGATTTGCAACCCTTGAGGAGCTCAGTCTTGTGAGGTATAGACAACAGAGCAGAAAGTAACAAACAGTGTGATAAGTACCACTACAGGGTGACCCACAGAATATTAAAAGGGAACTCAGAGGGAACACCTAACTCAAAGTGGGGAGAGGAAATAAAGTTCCTGGAGTAAGGTAAGGGAAAGAGAAAGCAAACAGGATGAGTATTCCAGAATTGCGGAAACATAATGGGTTGAGAAAAGGCACCTTACTGCATTATACAGTGGGCAGGAGTTAGTTATAAAGGGCGGGCCGGCCCGGTGGCGCACGCGCTCCCGCCGAGGGTTCGGATCCCATGTGGAGACCGGTTACCGTTCACTGGCTGAGCGCGGTGCGGGCGCAACACCGAGGGTTGCGATCCCGTTGCCGGTCCCCGGTACAGGCGCGACACCGAGGGTTGCGATCCCGTTACCGGTCAGTAAAAAAAGACAAAAAGGAAAATAAATAAATAAATAAAGAGCTATGCATGCCATTACAAGGCATTAAAACCCTGTCCTGTAAGAGCAAGGTCAGCACCAGGATTTATTTTAATCACTTGGCTCCCAAGTGAAAATTAGATTAAAGGGCAGTAAGACTACAGACAAGAGGACCAATCAGGAAGGCCACTGTAATTATCCAGCTAAAAGAGTGAGAGCTGCACTTCCAGTACAGAGGAGTATGTGCTCAACAAACTGATCCTGCTGCAAATGATAGCTACATACTCTGGATAAAAGGCCAAAAAAAAAAAAAACTAATGAGGTCTCTAAATAATTAAATGAAGCCAGACAAGTTTTGGAGGAAAGGTGAAACTTGGAGCAAGTGACAAGCACTTCTCTGTATTCTCTGGGTTTGCTATGCTTTGTTTATTTTTTTGTTTTTATTTGCAATTTTCCCCTGAGAGCAGCACAACCATGCTGGTGGCAGCACAGATACAGTAAAAATTCAGTAGAAAGACTATTGTTCTGGTAGGAGAAACCAGGAGAAGGAGCCCAGGGTTACCAAGAAAAGGGGAAAACCAAAAAAGGAGAGTTAGAGTAGGGGAGAACCCCAAATTCTGTGTTTAGACTCAGCTCAAGTCTCTGGCAGACCCCTGAACTATGCATGTGTGGGGCAAACTAAAAGAATTTTGCAACTTAAGGCTTAAAGAATTGAACTGAGATCTGAGCTAATGTCTATTGCAGGGATGGCAGGGTGTAGGTGAGCCTAACCAAATACACTGCCTTTTAAAGCAAAAACCTCAGTACTCTTCAAAACAATAAGACAGAACCCACAGTCATGACAAGAAAGCATTCACAATGTCCAGCTTATAATCCAAAATTACTTGACATATAAAAAGTCAGGAAAATGTAATCCATTCCCAAGGAGAAAGAACCAACAGACACAAATCCTGATATGACTCAGATGTTGGAATTTTCAGACAAGGACTTTAATGCAGCTATCATAACTATGATCAATAATATAAAGAAAAACATGCTTATGATTAATGAAGTAGTAAAAAAATAGAAAATATAAGAAAGAACCAAATGGCAATTTTAGAACAGAAAACTACAATACCACAAATTAAAACAAAATTTACTAGATAAAATTCAGAAAGAATGCAGATAATAAAAGAAGGAGTCAGTAAACTTGAAGGCAAATTAATAAAAAGTACCCAATTGAAAGAAGATAAAGAAAAAACTTAAAACAATAAATAGAGCTTCATATAAGTGTGGGACAATTTTTAACAGAATGTATAATAAAGTAAGTCCCAACTATATGTTGCCTGAAAGAGATGCACTTTAAAAGTCTAACATTAGGATATAAATATCACAGAAAGGGAGGAGAGGGAAACTAAAGCAGAAGAAATATTCCAAGAAATAATGGCTGAAAACTTCCTACATTTGGTGAAAGACATAAATTTACAAATTCAAGAAGCTCAGCAAATCCCAAACAGGATAAATTCAATGAGAAACACATTAAAGTCAAACTGCTGAAAACCACAACTAAAGTAAAACCTTGAAAGCAATCTGTTTCATACAAGGAACAATCATTTGAATTACTACAGATTTCTCATCAGAAACGTTGGAAACCAGAAACAATGAGCACTGAGAAAAAGAAACTGTCAACTTAGAGCTCTATATCTTTCAAAAGTGAAGGTGAAAAAATAATCTTATTTTCAGATAAGAAAAACTAAGAGAAGTTTTTGCCATGTGGCTTGCTCTACACAAAATATTGAATAAAAGTTCTTCAGGCTGAAGAAAAATGATACCAAAGAGAATCTCAGACCTTCAGGAATGAATGAAGCACATCAGAAACAGAAAGTATATGACTAAATATGAAAGACTCTATTTTCTCTTAATTTCTTTAAAATAAATATGATTGTCAAAGCAAAAATAATAACAATGTACTGTGGGTTTATATGTGTGTACATATCATACATATGACAATTATAACAGTGGGGGAGGGGTAAATGGACCTATATCATTGCAAGGTTTCTACATTTTACATGAAATGGTACAATATTACCTCTAAGTGGACTGTGAACAGTTAATAATGCATATTGTAATACCTAGAATACTAAAATATTCTAAAATTCTAAATATTCTAAAATATTATAGAAAAGAGAATAGAAATGCCAATAGATAAATTAAAATGGTATTCTAAAAACTGTTGAAATAATTCAAAAGGGATGAAAGTAGAAACAAAACAAGTAAGCAAAACAAACAAAACACACCAGAGGGAACAAACAGAAAATAATGAAATGGGAGACCTAAATCCAACCATATCAATATCATTAAATGTTAATAAACTATATACTCCAATTAAAAGGTAGAGACTATCAGAATTATATAACAAAGTTAAGTCCCAACTATATGG